CGCACCACCCAGAGGGGCCGCGAGTGGTGATCGGCCTTCAGGGGCATCTGCAGCCGGTAGTCCTTGGCCCCGTACTCGTCCACCTTGGTGCCGCTCTCCTCCACCTGCTTCCCCGCCGCCGATGGCACCGCCTCCTGCGGCTCCTTCCCGGCACCTTCGTCCTCATCGTCTTCGTCGTCGTCGTAATGGCGCTTCTTGGACTTCTTCTTATCTGGGAGCAGAGCGGGAGCTGTGACGAGCCCCCCTCAAGGGTCCCCCAAAAGGTCCCCGCGCCCCCAATCCCGTCCCGGCCCCTCTCACCCCGCTCCTTCCTGCCCATGGCCGCCCCGCGCTGCGCTGCGCCCGCCCGCGCGTCACTTCCGCACGGCCCGGGGCGGGGCGGGACGGGAGGAGGCGCCATCGATTTTCTGTTCCCGGGGCCGCCCTCGCCGCGGGATGGGACGTGCGGGCGGGCAGAGAGCGGGGGCTCGGGGGCAGCCTCGTATCAGGGAAAAGAGAAAAATAATTAAAAATTAATAAATTAAATAGAGGCTTCCGCAAAGTGCATTGTGAATAACAATGCAAAGGGCAACTCGGAAGTGAGGTACGAGAGTGACATTGCACCGTGTTATGAAATACGGGGTTCTTAAAAGAGAAATCACACTGTTGTCCCTACAGAGTGTTTTAATATATTTCTAAGTACAATTCGTGTCTGATTCTGGAAATACAAATACATTTCGAATGGTTAAAAACAAAAATTAAAAAAATATTTTGAACATCAGCCAGCTGAAAATATATTTATCTAGTAAATCATCTCTCAAAGCTTTTATATATTTAATTATTCTAACTAAACATAGTACCCTTAAAAAACAAGTTCATAAAAATGTAGAAATGAAACTGTGGAATAAGATTACTGGGATATATACACACACATTCAATGCATACACAGAATTACAAGGGGGGTTTGTTTGTTCATTTTTAAGTTTGGAAGGTTGTTAGACAACGGAACTAGTAAGCAATGCCCAACTCCTGAGTTCCTCAACCATGATAACCATAGGCTAATTGTTTAATTCTTTTTATCTTTTTTTTTATACACAAGATATTCCATGTAAAGCAGCAACAGCAGTGCAGTTACTGGTAGCAACATCTCAAAAGTAATAAAAAAACCATACATCCAGACAGTAGTACATTGCACACACACGTGATTCTCATACACCCACTGACAATTGGTCAGAGTATTAAATCAGTGTACAAATTAAATATTTCCAAAAATGTGCAAAAAAGTCAACGTTGATAGAAAAAAACCACCTTTGTGTACATACATTACAAACTGTGCCCAGCATTCAACTGAGAGTAAAAACATTTACAGTGAGAAACTGATAGATTAAATAGAGAATTTAATGGCTACATAAAAATGTACATTAGATCAAGAGTAAATTTACAAATTTTTATTCATAGCTTCATGAAAACTAAAAGCCTACGTTCCAATTAATCTAAGTCTCCTCCACGTATTTACAGTGATACTCCATTATACAACTCCTGTGAGGTCTGAGATGACAGACACTATATTTTAATAAACTATTCCAATTTTAAGTTGACACCACCTCTTACGGGTATTAACAAGAAACAAACACTAGGGAACCAACAATCTAATGGCTGTTCAGAAAAGAAAATGCAATCCTTGTTTTTATATCACATTATATAAACTTCTGGGGAAAAGTATCATCTAGTTCTAGGGTAAAAAGCACGAAAAAGCTCTATTTGCCATGATTATCCACCCTGGAGTTGGAGTATCCTTTTCTTTCTCTCTCAGCAGAAGACCCTGACCTCCAATCCTCATCTGTGGACTCAACGTAAGGGCTGAACCATGAGATAAAACTCTTATCTGTTTTAATCCAGTTCCTCTCCCTTTAAAATAAGTTTATGAAAACCAAGCCCTAGCCAAGGCGTGACTGCTTTGAAATGTGAGAATTTTTATTTCCTCCATCCCATCTATCCCTCACCTCCATGCGTGTATATATTGCTAGAGAAAACCCAAGGATTGCTCCAGGAAGCCGGGAGCTGCAGCGTCCTGGGTTCAAATGACAGGACCCCTGATCTAAAGCTGTACACACACCTTTTTCAGGAGCTATCGGTGGACACCACCTATGCAGTGTTTAAGCTCTGTCAGCTAGAAGGAAAAATAAATCATGCAGGCCAAGTGGGGGAAATAAACAGAGAAAGGAGCTCCTTTGTTTTCTGATCACGGATTTTGATTCAGAAGACGTGGGTTAGGAGAAATTCTGCCTGACCCTTTGGTGTGCATTAGGGGCTCCTCCTGAAGGCATCACCAACACCCAGGTAGGTAACTGTGGGTGACATCTGACTGTCATGTTGAGAGGACTGACTGCGTCCCAGCAGCTTTGGAATGTTCTCGCTATGGCGCACAAAGCAGGTTAGGTCACAAATCCATCTTCATGGCATTCCTTAAATGTCCCAAAGCTCAAACCCAGCTATAGAAGTCACCAGGTTTAGTCACCAAGCTTATGCATTAGTTTTAGAATTACAACAATAAGATTAAATTAGAAAGAGCTTTAAAAAGAAAACTCTTCATTTTAATGCGGGCATGAATTTTGCGTATCAGAACAGCAACTATGAACACCCATATCTCTGAAACATGGGCAGTGTCTATCACTTTTTAGTAGTACCTGCTTTACTCAGTCAGCGACAGCCTACTGGTGGATATACACTATCTATAAGTGACAGTACTAATCCATGAAACATCACTTTTGGCTATATGTACGGAATAGAAAAGCTTTGGTAATTGTATGTGATTCTACACTGCATACTTGTCATTGACACAAGACAGCAAGTTACCAGCAAGAAGAAATGACAATGGCAGTAATACTTTCGCTTTTCCAGAAACATCATAGGGACTTACATTCAAGCACACACATTATAGTTTTCTATATGCGTGACAAAGTCTTTCAAGATTAAAAAGTATGAAATTGGTTATAAATAACTGTAGATCTGACCAATTTGCTCAAGTCTCTGAAGCTGCAGTTAGACATCACTCTATGTTGTCCAAAGAATGGCTTGCTGTACTGCGCTGTACCTACAAGTGCTACGAGGCTTTCAGTCAAGACAACGGCAGGATTAGGATTATCCAAAAGGCACAGGAAAGAGTTTCATGGGCACCATGCTAATCTCACTGAGAAATCTGTTGGTTTGCTTGGACATACCGTATTCCTGTGCACTGAAAGTAAACAGCCTTACAACTACGATTTCAAGCCCATTAAAAGCTCCGCTGCAGAGTTTGGCACCCAGAGCCAGGAAGGCAAATCCGACTCTGTTATTTCTGTGATTGCAGACAAGTCCTCTTTCTGGTATGTGCATCAGTCTATGGTCTCCAGAATGCAAATACAAAACCTGTGTTAACACAGGAAGCCAGACATCACTTTAAAATTCTGAATTTAAACGTCTGCTGCACATTATAACTCAAGTACACTTTTCAGTGCAATTAAGCGAACTCTTGTTTGGGCACATTGAAAAAATCCATCCTCTAAGACTGCTTTGGTGACATGGAATTGTATGACATATTTCGATATGGTGTTCTAACATGAATAAAAATTAAGGCATACACATAAAAAGGCACTAGCTAAAAAAAAAACCTCTTCATTTTGTTATACTGAAAGGACTGTTTAGCTACAAATCACGTTGAAAGTCAAGTTGCAGTTTTAAGACTATATTTAAATTGTCAAGAAAAAAAAGTCTATGCAGATTTAACTTTGCAATTATTAGATCCATACCTTTTTGAGGTCTTGCATGGGTATTTCTATCACCCAAATTAAAAATAAACAACTTGCTCTAACACAACACAACTGAAACTTTGAGTCATCCTCTAACAGGACTGTTAGTCATTAAAACCATACCACAGAAGTAGTTTAAATTTTGTTACTTAATACGTGCAACAGATAGCATATTAAAATGCATTAGCAGATAAGTAGGTCTTTTGAAAATACACATACTCACCATGAACACCGATCCTTAATTTTTGAAAGCACAGCTTCATTGTGCTATTTACAGAAAAGCAAACCAACCCTGCAGCAGTACTGCTTTCACTGGCATTTTTTTGTAATTGAATTCAATAATTAGGACTAATTCATGATTCTAAAATGCTGGTGGCTTTTTAAGTGACATACAAGAAGTTGTGAGCAGGGATCTTTACATCTCATTTACTCTAAGTTAAGCAACTTAAGTCAGTAGAGAAATTCTCCAAAGGGTGAAAAAGACCTAGCTCAAGCCTAACCTTGGTTAAATTCATATTTCTTTTACTGGAATTTTACAGGAATCACTGGAATTTTACTGGAATCACTGGAATTTTACTGGAATCACTGGAACTGAGAAACGTCCACTTCATTTAAGCAGCACAGTCTTTACATTGGCAGCTTTCTGACATGTCAAAGACATGATGAAAAATGCATTCTGAAAATTCTTTTTTTCCTGGCTCCAAAACACTAACCATTGTCATGACTGAATGCCATTTTTTAGAAAAGGCACAAAAGCAGCAAACTTGATTGTTCAGTAATTAAAAGTCACAATGAGGAAGTGATATTGCAATATACATGACCCAGCACTGTCTCACAGAAAGGACACATTATAAGAAAACTAGATTCTGAAAATATTCAAGCTTCAGAGAGTGCAGTTTCTCTTTAGAATAGTATATCTAAACATTATGAATGCTACAGATAAACCTGGTTACATTTTCCCTTTAATGTCCCTTTTTGGTAGTATAAAATTTCCTTACCTTTTCAGATATCACTGACCACTACTGATTTTTATATACATTTTCACCTTGAGTTTAGTATCTTCTTAATCTGTTTGAAATCAATCATTTCAACTATATGATCTTTAAATTACCTACATAAACTATTAGGTTCTACACTAAACTTCCCATCCCTACTGTCCCTATATTTTGCTTATAAAGCAAAGGTCCTCTAGATCAGAGTATATACCAATTCTCCTTAAAGACTGCTTCACAGCTTGTGACTGAGAAACAAAAAAAGAAGTCAGTACAAGCTGACTTTCCTTTCAGCCTCCTACACTTTTCCTGATCTGACTAGTTCTTCCCATGCTCAGGAAACTTTGCACAGTTGTGTACGCTGACCGAAAAAATTATAAATTGGGTAAAATACTCACATAAGCTGAAGAAGTCACCACTCTGTCTCGGGAGAGATGGCCTCAAAAAAGTCATTCTTACTCCACTACAGGTAAAGTGATTGGGATAGATCCATACTCCTGCTTATGCTCTGGTACAACATTTGGAATTTAGCAGAAAAAATTCAGAAATCTCATAAATGACTGTGGGAATGGGTAAGCTTATTGTTCTATTTCCATGCACTTCGTCACTCTGATAGTCCTCTAAAGATACAGAACAGGTAGAGCCCTGTCAGAGTGGACAAGGGTTATAGTACCAGCCCACTTTGCCTTTACAAAACAACAAAAGCAAGCAATGAATCATCCAAAACAATAAACATAATTTCAGTTCTGTAGTCCAATAGTTTATTTCCAAATGCCCCTTTAAATTATGTTCTGTTCTTCTACAAAAATATGAGAGTCTGACTTTTCTGTTGTGAAAAGTCAGTTATTCACTAAACCTGATCGGTACCTGGGTTTCTCAACTGAGAAGCATTATTTCAGAGTTATACTTCTGTTCTTTTATTATGCTCTTTCAGAATTAGGAAAAGTGATTAACGTACGCTTTATGACAGTTGAAAATCTGACAAACACCAATCATCTGGATTCTCAGGCTGGAGTAATCACACTTATGTTATTTAACTGCTGGCTCTCTTTGCACTTTTGGCCTATTCTTCATACAGTTCTCTGTGCTGTGCCTTCCTGTTCATGAGGATTCATCAGTGTTACCTTATTAAAAATATAACTGGAGTCTTACCTTTCTCAGTGACTTATTCCTGATGTTCAAAGATGTTTAACTTTCAGGAATTTTCAACACATCTAGATGACTGACCTGCGTTACTAAACCAATTTTTTTTAGTGCACAATGGAAGAATTTTTTATTATTCAGGCACTTGATGTTCACATACATTCCATCCTAGCGCCTCTTAACAGCTTTGAAAACATTTCTTGTAGCTCATTCTGAATCAAGTAACTCATATACTGCACAAGGATTAGTCCCTCCCTTTCCCCTCCAGCCATTCAAGGGATTGTGGAGGAGAACTGACTCTCAACATCACTATTTTTTATCAGCTAAGATAACCATCTCCCTCTAAGCTTATGCAACAGAGGTTCTCTTTGGCAGATAGAGCAGGAGGCATTCTCCTAACTATTTACATCCAATAGCTGACCCTTGTCTAGTATGGAAATTTTCCTCTTGCAGTATGGTAGTACCTAGGTGTTTGGGCCTATAATCTGTTTACCTGTAATTATTTTCCTATTAAGATAATACAATAATTCTACACCAAAACCTCTAACTAGTTTTGAGCTCATTTTGTTATTTTCTTTTGGTCACATAGAAGTACCAGTTAGACACACTGCTGTACAAAGAGTTCCAAGTTCTTCCAGTCTCGTCATTTAACTCTCAGAACTGCACATTCCAGCTTAAACTGTAAATTCCAGAAACTGATTAAAATGCTAAAATATAATAAGAACTTAGAACTCTCTGCTGCAAGTACCTACAATATAGAGAAGAATCACAGAGAAGTAATCTTCTTGTCCTTTAGCTGCATGTCTATTTTTCCCTGCACCCTGAGTCAGTCAGTGGTGTCAGAAAAAGTCACACAGTTCCTGACTGTCCAAGCATTTGTCATTTTTTTTCCCCTTTAAATAAGGAACAAATATGTACTAAAGTGCTTTATCTACATCAACCACATCAGTACATTATAGAAACAAAAAGTTCTAGTCCTGGTGGGGTGGGAGAGGAGAGAAGATTCTCATTTTAGATACAAAATTTAGATTGTTTACAATCTAAGTGAAACAAAGATTCAAGAGAATATTCTCTCTCTTGTCTTTTTTCTCCTTTTTCTTTGTAAAAAATAAAAATAAAAGTGCAGTCAAATAGAAAATAAATGCAGTAGATGCAAGCTGAGTTGAGGCAGGTGTTAGTGATAGTGTGCAAACGTGTGTCTTAGCAGTTCATCTGCAAACGGTCGCAGCTTGGCCTCAATAAAAATCCGTTTCAAGAAATCCCGAGCATGGTCGGAGACATGAGGTGGCAGCTGGGGGTTGGTTGGCTGAGTGGCAATTTTAAAGATGGCAGCCATGGCTTCGAACTCTGCCCACGGGGGCTTCTCCGTGAGCATTTCTACCACTGTGCAACCTACGCTCCTGAAACAGAGGCAGAAGTGAAACAGCAGGTTATAACAGAGTCATGCCCTTCTAGGAAAACAAGAAATAGCAGAGAGGAACTAAAATACTACAAATAAGTAGTGTCCACTTAACACTACAGAGCAACTTCAGCGGAAAACAGGCGTTGAAAAAAAATAGCATGTACTGCTATGCCTTTATCTCAAAGTTACACAAATCACTACCTACATCTCCACTTTTTTACTTCACTGGGCCAAAAGCCACTACACCTCATTGAAGAGATAATTAGATATTTATCCAGGCAATACCAACCACGTTACGGCACTGCCACCACTCAGTGCTCAGCAGGCTGACAAAGCCATGCATGCAGCACAGCACTTGGAAATGTTCCTGCTCCTTGAGGTTGAACAGAAATGCAAAGCATCAGGAATGCTCCGAGCACACTGTGTGTGTTGCTCATTAGAAATGCACGAGTTCTCACCAGTGAATAATGAGCAAACATAGTATGCCAGTTGAAAACTTTGAAAACCTTTCTTTGTGGTATCTTCCTCTTTTAGTCAAGGATACTAAAAATAAATTTAGATTCCCAAACAAAATTTTAAGACCCTAATCAATCTTTGTATACAAAGCTTATGTTTAAAGGACTCAGGAAAGCAGAAGGGCATATATATGGCCAGAGAAACTTTGTTCCAGAAGTCCTGAAAGACAGCCCCTTCCAATAACAAGTGAATGATACTGCAAAATGGATAGGCTGGAATAATTTCCAATTCTCAGGAAGTCTGATTGTTTTTCAAGATACTTGCAAGAATTTTTTCTGTTAGACAGAGGTATGTCGCCTTACACAGTAAGGATTTACTGACTGACAGTAGTCAAACTTCAGTATTTTTTCTTAAGTTTTACCCCAGATTTTTTCGACCAAAACACACACATGAACTGTGGCACAAATACTTCAAAGTTGAATAAGTCAACTGCTTGAAATCTGTAATGCTGGTCTACTATTCCAGTATAGCAGAGTAATTACTAAGTGACCTGAACTAGCCTAAATTAATTTCCCTGAGGTTAGAAGTATTATGATTCGTTGGATATAATGTGATTCCTTTTTAAACACAGTGTTACTGCTCCTGCATATGTACTGCTCCATGTTCACAGACCACCTGCAGTTCAAGGAGTCAAATCACTACAATCATCTGTTCATTGGGCTGGAGCCATGTTAGATTGGCTTTACACAATGTTTTGACAAAGTTCATGTTTGAAAATTACCTTTCCCTCTTAAGTAGTTAATAACAACTTAAACCAAATTTTTTTGATACTCCCACTTAAATCTGGTTAATTCGCTCTTAAGTGTTCAACTTTTAAAGGAACAGCATTTCATTTTCTGCCTTGCATCAAAGGTATTCAGTGGTGAAGTTTCATTAAACAACATTGACTGAACTGATGTTTCAAAGCTTCACGTATTGTTTTCACCCAGTACCTCTCCAGAATTTAGGAACAGTCTGGTAATCCTAATTTCATGCAAGGTCAATTCAAAGGATTCTCTTACGATCTCTAAACTGACGGGCTGAGAAGTTGCCAGGTAAAAAATTCCTGAATTTCAGTGTTAGGTTCTCTATTGTCAGTGCTCACGTTTACCACCTTCTTCAGCTTAAACCCCAGAATGAAACATTCCAACTTCAGAAAACAAACACCTACACTGTTGAAAATGAAATTACACTTTTCAGTACAGAAGTTTTTTTTTAACGTACCAGATGTCTGCTTTTCTGCCGTATCCTTCTCCACTAATAACTTCGGGACTCATCCAGTAGGGAGTTCCTGTGACAGACTTCATTCCTGTACCAGAGAGACAGATAGTCTGCAGTCGTTTGCTGGCACCAAAGTCACCAAGCTTCACATTGCCTGCTGAATCCCGCAGAATATTTGCTCCTGGAAGGAAGGGAACACAGCATTACATTCATGGAAGACTTAATGCTTTGGTATGGAAAACAGTAACAGAAGTTTGCATTCAGTGATACAACACAACATCAGCCTAGAATTTCAAGCCAGAAAATTTACTTTCTCTGCTCATTTCTGTTACTCTATTCTGCAGTTCAGAAAACAATGAATTGTACACACTGGTTTGCATCCTAGGTCTTTTCTGGGAAGTGGCAGTCACTTTGTAAAGGCCTCCTGGCAAAATAAGGAATGTGCCATACACAGGAAATAAAATGAAATGAGAAAGGAGTTTCCACAGAACTGAAAATGTCTTCATACTATATTAAAGCAAAATCTCAAACTGTGTTACAGATTTGTTCAAAACAGTTACTTGCACAAGCATGTACAAATTGACTGTGATATCTCAACCTCTTTTGGAACAAAATACTATTGATGCAAAGCAACAGGAGAATGGTAAAAATTTTACAGAATACAACAGCATTGTGTTCAATACACCTGTTTTGCACATCACCATCTTCCCACATATTCATACTTTGCTTATGCAACACATGCAAGTCACTTGTATCTAGCGCAAAAAGTAAATATGTTTGTTTAACAGGTTTTCTGGCAGCAAAATGGAAGAAGTCGGAGTCATTTGATCAGGCAAGTCACCTCTGCCAGTGACTTCCTGTACCAGTGAAGTGCTGGGTAATCTCTATATAACTGATGAAACAGAACTCTGCAAACACAAACTTTCGAGTCATGATGCTTTTCCTCTGCACATTCTATCTATTTCTAATGACATCATCCTCCAATGCATTTAAAACTATTGATACTAAAATAAAATCAAAGAAATTTATCTTAATTGTTTTGCAGACAGAGACTACAGAAACATTGTCAAAAGTCTGCTAGAACACCACAAAGATGCTTATTTTTCCCCCCTCAGGTTACAACAATGACAAGACTAAAAGATGGAAAGCAATCTCATTGATTTTAAGTCAGTATTTTGGCATTTCAAACTTAATTACATTTTAGCACTTCACATAAGACTGGAAAATAATCAGTAAGAAAGAGCACTGAACTGTGAGCAGTTCTTTACCTTTAATATCTCGATGGACAATCATATTACTGTGCAAATAGTGAACTCCTTCCAAAATCTGCCGCGTATATTTACGAGTCACATTCTCTGTGAGTGCTCCATATGATTTCAATTGGTCTTTGATGGAACCCTATGGCACACAAGAAGTATAAAACACTAACACTTCAAGAATCACAGGTGAGCTAATAGTACAGTTGAACTTCAACTAAATTTATGCCTGAAACACAGATATTTAAAGTTACAATAAATCATTCTCAATATCAACTTAAAAAGTACAGATATGGTCTTACCTCCACTGAGAAAAATACACACTTTGACCAAAGGAAGACTGGGCAGAGAAGTCATATACTGAAATATTAAACCATTAACTTTAAAACTGTCAGGCAGCTGAATAGTTCCAGTGCAAGGTAGAGAAAGAACAGCACTACTTTCACTTCAACACCTCTCTCAACTTTCTTGATGATTAAAAGGTGATACTCAAGTTGGACTCAATACATGCCCTTTGCTTATGTTTGTTTATACTCTGACAAAAACATTGTCAAGAAAAAAACACCACATGCTGGAGGATAGTACTTTATGTAAAAATTAGGAGGTAAGCAAGTCTTGGCTTAAAATAACATTGAATAAAAAATTCTTGGGTTTTTGCAACTACTTTTGTTTAACCTGGCTTTGTCACATAGAGTTACAAACTGCTAAGATTACTTCTGTGACGCTGCCCTCCAAATCTCAGAAAAATTCAAGAAGCCCCCCAAAACAAAGCCGAGATCTCACTTAAGGAATGAAGAAGCAAAAAAAAAAACCCACCACCAACAAAACAATCCTCAGACACCACTTTTCTCCTGTCTCAGAGTAAGTAGAATGCTGTAACTATTCAGAAATACAGAGACTGTTTTCACACGAGCTCATTTTATTTAGCTCTGCTGACCCCACTTGGTGAGAAAATGAAAATGTACAATTTTCTGACCTTATAATATTTCCCAACAAAGCAGTAGAAGAGCAGTTCGGCATGTATGTAGGTGCCACACAAAAAACAAGCACCAAGATTATTTTCTGTATGCACTTATTCCCACCCTGATCTTAGCTACTTCTGGTTTTCCTGAAATAACTGAAGCACAGCAAAACAAAACAGTAAAATTCAGGAAGATTCAAGAGTTCACTAATGATAGTATTGTCTTTTCAAAGATATTGCCAGGCACTCCTTATGCCAAAATCAAACACAAAGAGCTTTTGTACAAACCACCATAATTCTGAAAACCCAAGCAAGCAATGGAGATGACGGGCGCTGTAAGCACTTCTCAGTACCCATCTTTGGCGACTGTTTTTAACTTGGACAATTTTAAATATCTGTGTGTACTTATGCAAAAGCTGCCTGCCTGGGTGCTCGTCACACTGCACACAAAGGATGGTTGAAGTGGCCGGGCTCTCCTGCTTACCCCAGGCATGTACTCCATGAATATTGAGAGTGTCCTTTCTGGCGGATCTCTCAAGAAGCCGTAATACTGAACAATCCTTTCATGCAGCAGATTTTTCAGCAACTGAATCTCACATTCAAGTGCATTTACTTCCTGAAAGGACAAAACAGACAAGATTTACCATACTTGACGTGGTAACAATAATGTTTTGGATTTGGATTTTTTAAAGCAGAACAGTATGTACATATTGAAGGGTTATGCAAACTAAGTAACAAAATACTCCTGCAGCTTATGTAAAGTTTATCATTTTATAACAAGAAAAGATCACTGTTAAATTGAAGTAAGTAAAAAAACCAAACTATGGCTTTTCTATAAATTATCTTTGGGATGATTTTGCTGTTACTTCATTGTTTCTTTTATTTTGAAGTTATATTTGTTTGTTCAGAGCACAGCAGATATCAATATGTGTGATGTCAGTGATCATTATGCAACATGTCATAAGCCTCCAACTGGATTAAAGAAAACAACAAAAAAACAAAACACAGGAAAAAATCCCCTTAAATCTTTGTAGTGAAATAATTAGCATTAATTCTTAGCATTTCTAGGATGATAGACTATACTTTAAAAATGGCTTTGAGGACCACTTGAGATTGTAATAATGACATGCAACAAAGCAAAACATTAACACAGCTGGTGCTTTCTCTAGAGCTATCTGAAATAGTAAAAATTTTGCAAACAGGAAGATATTTTGAAATGTACCGTATGGTAAGATGCTGGAAAAACACTAACCCATGAATTCAGATTTGACTAGATTCCAAATTTCACCTAGAAGTTTTTCATCAAAACTTAATTTTTATCCATCACAGACTGATACCCTCACACTTCTGAGGTTAGAAAGAAAACAATTTTTTTAACACAGAGAGGTACATATTACAAAATGCTATGGCAAAGGAGGTCACAAAACTGTTGCTACAGCAGAGACACTACTATATTTTATATTTAACAATTCCAAAGCATAATCAGGTGTTCTGTTACATTTTAAAGAAGTAGCAACAACAACTACACTAGAAATCTACAGCATGAGTGATTCGTGACTTTTTTCCTTGATCCTACATCACTAGTAGCAGCAACTATAACTGGCAGCCACTCAATTCTGCAATCATGCTTACACCCACTGTTTTCCTGGCCTTGCTCCCCACAGTGCAGAATGCAGTCCTAATGCGGGAAAGTAATAATTCTCTTTCCATCCTGTAAAAAGCAGCAAGTATGGTTTGGGAAAAGAAGAAATAGAAGACTGATGCTACTTTTAAGGAGTTTCTCTCTGCCAGTGTCCAGTAATTAAAGATGGACAGGCTCCATTTTAGAGAGAGAATAAACTGACAAGGAAACTTGTGTGCTTTAGAGAGAAATACAGTGAGTAACAGCAGCTAGTCCTGATGAGCATAGCTTAAAGAAAGCAAAACAAAAAAACCAAAACAACAACAACAACAACAAAAATCGAAACACAGAAAGCCCACCAAAAGATAAAAAAAGAGATAAGAATCTCAAACTGTCTTCTTCATAGCCAAAAAAAACATCCGAAAGAATTTTTTTCAGGAACACTTAAATTTGTACAGCCTTTTCTGTTTATAAATGGAACTTGTTCTAATTTCTGTAACTATAAATAATTATCATTTCAGAGCACACTTCATAGTAAATTGTTTAATTTTAGAGACCGAGACTGCACCAAATCAAGTTATGTATGTTCACCGCATAAGCATATGCCTGAAACTTAAAAAATGAGATGTAACATAAAAGTCTGGTAAGCAGACTATTATCTGTGGTATGAACAAAGCAGGTTTACTAACAAGGACACAAAAACACAGTACGTGGTTTAAAACACATTCAAAACATGCTCATCCTGTTCAAGGAATGTCTAGTCTAGTCCAAAACACACTACTTCAACAGAAGCCCTTTACAAGGTCTCCCTTTGGTATCACTTACCTTGCTGGTTTCTGGACTATCAGGATCAAACTGAACTTGTTTAACAGCCAGTTCTCTTCCAGTATCAGCATCGTAACACAGATAGACTCTGCCAAATGCACCTTGACCCAGCAGTTTACCAAGTCTCCAGTTAGTTGGAGCTCGTGGTGCTGAAAATATAATATGTTTTGGTTTTCAAATGAGCTTGTTATTCAGCTGATTGAGAAAAACTGGAATACACAGAAAATAATTTTTTAAAAGGCTACATTTTTCAACAATAGAGACTGTGCGCCCTAAATCTCCCCGTATAAGTTACAAAGATCAATAAAACTTCCTGTAAGATGGAAAACATGAGCTACTTAAATTTATTCACAAAATAATTTGTGGTAGAGATAAACATACTTAAAATAAGCAACAGCTAATCTGAAAAACAGAAAAAGCACATTAAACAAATTTAACTTTTTGTTAAAAATCAAAGCATGATTAAAATGTACCAGCTATTGAAGTCATCACAAAGTATACTTGCTCCTGATGTGCTATCACAGGTATGAAATAGTACCACTTATGGTCTACAGTTTAACAGAAAAGTTGACCAACATATGCAAAAATAAATAGTAACTGCAACCTACAACACCCTTTCAGGTCCTCAGGAGTCTAATAAATCATCTAAACTATTTTTACAATGCTTTGTTATCACAGATGTAAATTCCATATGAAAATCTACATGAAGGTTGGCACAGTAAGCCACGAAAATACCGATGAGGTTTAAGTCCTGAATTTTTCCTATTTAGAGAGATAAAACCACATTACTCAATTGCCTGTATTTTGGTGACATGCTTAGTTTTGACATCGTATACTTGTAAGGTAAGAGTTTTACAGCGGGGTTCACAAAATGCCTTCACTTACAGCGACTGGGTGGGCTGATGTCCATGACTGTCAAGGTAGGATTGTCTATGTCGCTTCCCCTCCTCCTCATTCGGTTATCTTCGTATTCCGGTGTAAAGACGCTGCTTCCACTACTCGTGCTCAGCGAGTGATCAGTGGGACTGAAACTAACTGGTGATCGGAAGCTGTTCCCCTGAGTCCTTCTGGCTCTTGGAAAAGTTTTACGACCTTCAATGATACACAAAGAACACTAATGTTACTCTACAAAAAAATAGTGCTATGCAATGTGTGTATGCAAATAATTTATGAATTCTACACTATCTAGTTCAAATCTGCCACAGCATATAATAGGACACAACGATCATGAAATTTGCTGATTTAACTTTCCACCTAGAAGGAAACAAACATTCATCAAAGATGTATATAAGGATTAGACTGAATCAAAACCTTATGTTTAAGTGACCAAAATTAGGATCAACTTCTGGAACTGTTCTGAAATGCTTCAGAAACCTGGAGGGCTGTAAGAGAAAGGAAAACACCCTGCCTCTGCTTTTATTGCTCTATTAATGTGTAAATATCAAATTTCTGATAAAAAGGAGAACAAGATACAAGTTTACAATCCCATGTGCCCAAGCTGGCATCTTTGTTCTGCAAACCAGTAAGAACTGAATGCAGAGAAAGACCAACACATGCAATCAACATGAAGAGCACAAAACAAAACAAAAAAAACCAAACCAAAAACAGAGACACAAAAAGAAAACAAAACACAAGCAATGTCAAATTTGGAGGTGGTTGCAGCAATAGAATTAAAAAAAAAGGGCACTGATCTTCAAAATGTTAATTACAATTAGGTGGCTAACGCAATTTATGTTAATCTATTTAGATAACACAACTATTTTTAGGACAGCATTAGCTGATGAAGTTTGATCCTACAGAACTCAGCAATAGCTGATGGAGTCTTTGATTCATTAGGTATTACACTGGAGGACGAGTTCCCAGATGTCCTGGTTTGAGCCACCCTCCACCCCCCCAGGAGGGGGGGCTGGAAGTGATTGGTCCCAGGTGAGTTTCCGATGAGCGACCAATTGGAGCTTATTTCACCCCTGTGAAATTAACATATTACAACAGCTGGAGGAAGTTGTAGGCAGCGAGAGAGAGATTCTGCAGTCCTTTGATTTGATATTTCTGTGATTTCTGTAACATAATTCCATTTATTGCTGTGCTCATTCCACACTGCAAATGAAGCTATCTGGTCTTGGGAGAAATTTCTTCTTAACACTTCTCAACTACTGCTCAACACACCCAGAATTCTGAAAATCCTTCAGCTGCTTCTCTTTCCTTCCTTTAGAAATTTAATGTGTTAAATTTGTATTAATGTTATTACTGTTCAAACCAGTCTTGTGGCTACATCAGCAGGTGCTGCCTTGCATTCCAACAATTGATTTCATCAGCTATTTGCTAATTCATGGTTTAAATCACTGCTCTTCAATTTTATTTATTCTTTTAATCTAAGAAACTCCTAACAGCAATTCCACTGTATTTGAGATTCCTTAAAGCAGAACAAGAACTGACAAACTGACATATCTACTTTAGACAGAAAAGGGTCACAAAGGTCAAAAGCTTATACTGGATGACTCGTGTATGGACAAAGAGAACATTTATGCAGCTGTGCATATGAGTCAGGAATTCTGCAATCCATACCTTTACCAGACGTAAAACTGCTTAGCAGCTCTATCAATCATTAGAAGTTTAGCAAGTGAGTTTGGGGAAAGAATGTAAGGTTTCAATTTCTCCAATATTTTCATTCATTAAGGTTTTTACAAACTAATTTTTTTAATTCATGTTCTAGGAAGAGAAAAACAGATTAATTAAACTGCTGCAGTATTCACACTTACCATCATTGTAGTCTTGTTGATGATATGAAATATGGTATCTTCGGGGATAAGTCCCCCCCTTTCCAAATTTCTCGAATATTGGGATATCATACTCTACTAGAAAATAAAAAGATTAAAAAATTTAAAATGTGACAAGAGTATATTAAATTAATCACTTTGGCATTATAAACTTAAACATGAGGGAATGTATCAGAGGATATGCTTCAGTTGAAGCATCAGAGCAAAACCAGATTATAGAACAAAAGCCACAAATCTGTCAACCCACAAGAACTAAAAGGATGTTCAGTCAAAAGTTCCAAGGATCAAGAATTCAACAGCTCAAGAGATTTGCTTAAAAGAAAGTCAGAGGACTACAGCAGGCCTAATTACTCCAGTTTTAAAAGTAGTTTCTAGAGGAAAAACTGCTCTAAAGAATATATTTTAAAGATGTATAAATATGAAAAGTTGGTGAATGAGTCAACAGAGCTTGAATTACTGAACTACAATCAATAGGTCCAATTTTAAAAAGTATTGAAGGAGAAAAGTATTCATAAGATAAAGGAAAAAGTCCCTCATGCATAAATAATTGGTTAGAAGATAAGTACATAAGAAGGGAAGAAACGGTCAACAGTTTGACAGGAATCTGGGCTAAAACTCATGCAGTTTAATTATGCATGAATTCTCTGTACAGAATAATGAATAGTGAGGTGACAAAATCATTCTGAGAAATAAAGCCAACTGGAGAATTAGAGAAGGTCCTTAAGAGTCTACGTGACTGGATGTTAAAGTGGCAGATGAAATTAAATGTAGGTTTATATAAAGGTTTGTGATAGAGACTTCCAGTAAGGAGCAGCTGAACTCTGTATTGGCTAGGAAGCAAATTAAAAGCAGTAAATCATTAAGATACACTGAACAAAGTTTTGGTCTACTCCTCCATAAGGAATGTAGGCCTCCATATACTAGAAAAGCAACAGCTCAAAGGGAGACAAAGAAGTCCATAAAAAAACCCAAAACAAAACAACCCCCCCCCAGAAAAAAACTAACAAAAGAAAACCCTCCAAAAAACCAGAATCATGAAGTGCATACTTCTTCCTAAAATACAATAAATTGCACAACTTCTTGTTGCAACAGACTGTTGATGCTGAAAAAGTTTATACAAGTTGAAATAGAGACAGGAAAAATTTGTGAGAGGAAAAAGATCCAGCAAATCACAGAAGAACGTCTTGCATCTGCAGAACCCTAGAGCTATACATGACTAGGAATATATTCTGAGAGAGGAATACTGCATGCTTCTCTGCAGAAGCCTGGTACTGATTGTGGCAGGAGGAAAAATAAGGCCAGATCGATATTTTTTCTGGTTTTGTTACACATCAAATCATGGGAATAAATACTGAATATGGAACTAATGATTGCTGTCTATCCCCCTATTACCATACCAGAGCATCCCAAAGGAAAAAACTGACAAGGTCATCCTATTAGAAAAGTAACCTGAATAAACACAAGCAAACTAGATTAAGATTACACGAAAGGCAAACTAATTTCTGACATTTCCAACTTTTTTGGTATTTATCTCTGCCACCTAAATGTTTCTTATATATAGTTTTATATATAAGAAATATATATATATTTTTATTTAAAAGTGGTGCAATCTGTTAAGCACTCTAGAATCCTTAAAAGAAAAAACTCACCATTGCACAATTACCTAGATAAAGCTTCACTAACAAAATAAAAAGAAGCTTTAAAAGTATGAATAGACCAAAAAAACACAAACCCCCTTTGATTTACTGGAAACTAGCTATTGTTTAACAGCAAAATTCTGTAGTGAGGCGTGACCATGACAGATACTTCAGAGCACTTTCAAGGTTACCCACTGCACTTCACAGCCTGAACCCTGCACAACAACTTGGATTCAAGCCAGAGTATGGTATGAAAAAAACATTAGTGTTGATGATTAATTTATAGGCACAGCACACAGTTCTCCTTCATCCTTTCACTTTGCAGTGCTTTCAATTACAGAAGTCATGAGCACTTCAAAGTGATCATTATTTCACATAGGAGAAAATGAAGGCTCCACATACTGGTTTTGGCTGAGAGAGAGTTAATTTTCTTCACAGTGGGCTCCTATGGTACTATGTTTTGGATCTGCGATCAAAACACGGTTGATAACATAGGGATATTTTAGTTATTGCTGAAGCACATCTGCACATAATCAAGGCGGTTTTTTGTTTCACACACTGCCCTGCCAGCTGGTAGAGTAGGCTAGCGGGCACAAGAAGTTGGGAAGGACACATCCAAGACAGCTGGCCCCACATGACTCAAGGGATATTCATCCCATACTGTCTGAGGTTGTGTTCTGCAATAAAAGATGGGAGAAAGAAGGAGGAAGGGAAGACATTTGGAATGATGGTGTTTGTCTTCCTAGGTAACCAGTAGGTGTGATAGAAATGGAAATGGTTTTCCTGGAAATGGCTGAACACCTGCCTGTTGACGGGAAGTGGTGAATGAATTCCTTGTTTCCTTCTGCTCGTGTGTGCAGCTTTTGCTTTACCTGTTCAACTGTCTTTATCTTAATTCACGAGTTTTCTTACTTTTACCCTTTGATTCTCTCCCCAGTCCCATGTAGGGGAGCGAGCAGGCAGCTGTGTGGGGCTTAACTGCCTACTGGGGTTAAACCACAGCATCCCAAAATGAAATAAATTAACCACAGTTAGATGCCAACTTAGAGATGGATGTTACAGTCCAGTTTAACCAACTGTTGTGTGCCCCTACTCACTGCAATGTTTGTTCTTTTCACAGAACCAGACAGTTACACTATGAACACTAACAGTGGTGTCACACACAATAATATGGAAGAAAACATTTAGAAATTCTTGTATTTCCATGGTATCTTTTACTGTGTTCATTTGGATTGGATTTTGTTGCTTTGCCTTCTCCTACCATACTAAGTTTGCGTAATACAACAGTTCTCAATGTGAATGTACCTTCTCAGCCTTATTTGCTGCAAGAGGAACAGTTCTGGAAAGTTCTCTAGTACGTCCAGAGATTTGTACCTACCTGAGAATTCCTGATGATTATCTGGATAGCTCTGCGCTCTTGGCATCCGAGATTTGGGATAGTTGTCCCTGGAAGTGTAAAACATACAGAATCTAAAAACTGCTGTTAATCTACTACTTCACCATTTAATCTTACTGTCTCACAATTCTTTACAACTGATGAAAAGCTATCGCTATACAAGTTGCTGCACCAGTTTAACTGGGTGGAACTCAATTCTGAAACTCAGATCTAGTAGGTATCTATAACAACTGAAGATCAGCAACAATGGAAAAGCTTATTGAGTTTAATGTAGTAAGAAAGCAACACACTGTTAATGAGCAATAATATTAGTAAAAACATGAATTATCACAGGTAAAGCCACAAAGGAACACTGTTATGTTTAACATCTTTATGGCTAAACACAAAGGTTTACAGACTGGCCAAATCTGTCATACAGCCTACAAAAACTCTTGGGGAAATTTAACCAAAGAAATTGAGCACCTTTTGATGAGGAAAAGTATTTCCTCTTCTCTCCATGAAAGTCATAGGATTAAGAAAGTGATTTTGTTAAGTTATAGAATGATGAAGAATTTTTGGTTCTTATATGATCACATTGTTTCTTACCTACAGTTGGTATGTAACTCCCAGCCACCAAAAGCAATGGATGGGATTGCCAGTCAGAGCAATCGATTACAGTATATTTCCATAAACATACCAAAACAATGTCCTCCTTTTTCTGGTAAGAATTTCTCTAATGGGTAACAGAAGCTAAATGGAGACACAAAACCTACATCTTTGTAGGAAATATTTCAATGGAAAAAAAAAAAAAGGAAAACAAACTAAGTAGAGGTGACAAATTGAGGAAATAAAAAACAACCAAAAGAAGTTTTGAAGAAGAAATATGAGTTATATTAAGATTGCTTTATTTCCCCTTCTTCCACTTACCCTTACCCCACAAAAAACCTAAAAATTTGGCAATTTGGTAGAATTTCTATTCTATGGAGCTACATTAAACATTAGGTATGTATAACCTATCACACTACAACCACAAAATACTTTTCACATCTATTGTCTTCTTGCTTGTGAAATGAAGACTCGTTATTCAACTCAGAAATGTATATGTTAGACCAAATGTATTTGTGTTCTCAAATCACATCATCTCATGTGAGAGGGTACTGTGGAATATTATAGCTCTTATTTAATTGCCACAGGCAGTGATTACCAATTAAATAAAATAGCACTATTTGTATAGCAGTTCCAAATAAACAAGTAGTCAATCTGCCCAACATTACACCCAAGGTTCTTTTTCTGACCAACCATAAGCCAAACAGGAGTATGTTCTGCTTGGCTTCACTGGTGGACAATGACCCTCTCAAAACATGAATCTCCTCAGAGGTCATCCCAAACAGACCTACAGACCTTCCCCAGTACATGCTGCCTCTTGCTAAATGATGGGCTTTAACAAAGGAAAATAAGTGGAAAGCCTGCAATGGGAACAAAGGGAGAGGAATGGACAGTAATCACCAAGAAATGGACATGATTGTCTGTTGAGTCTTTAAATGATTCCACCATCTTCCTGAAGTGGGTACCCTCTGCCTTGGCAAAGGAAAGCCTACTTCATATGCCAGTGCCTTAGAACTGTAAATTTAATGGGGTGGCTCACTGCCAGGGAATATACTTCACGCATATGTAAAACCTGGCAACATCTAGTAAAAATCTTCAGTGCATTTTTGTAGGATCCGAACTCTAATTTTTTTTTGTTTCAAACACAAATTATTTCAAAAAAACAAAGCTACTGTATTTTCCAAGTATTAGTAAGCAATTAAGTTTGAATAAGCTTTTATAAATGTTCTGAAACTTAGAGGGGAATTTCTGGAAGAAGCTCTGTCACTGGAGAGTTGTTATACATTACAACTGATAAATTATGCAATCTAATAAAGCTAAATAATGAATGTAAATAATTTTTACCCATCTAACGGGCTGTCAAGTGAGGGACAGCTTCCCGAGCCAGAGTTTTCAGGACTGCTTAAAGACAATGGATCCAGCATCTAATAAATAACAAACAGAGGAAGACCAACAAGTTCAAGTCTGGTTTTTGAATTTTTTTAAAATACTTTAAGGTTTCTGCTTTGAAACAGCTAATAAAAAAAAAAATCCAAACCAGATAAGAGCTGGTAAAAACAGAATGGAAAGCTCATCTGTTGTCTTAAAACAAGCTCCCTCGTAAAATGAAGTTAGTTTTGGTATATTATGTAACATCTATTATTTTCTATGAATTGGGCACCAGTCTTTTGCTGTAAATTAAGCAGTTACCCCTCCAATTTTTATGGTCTGTGCTGCATCTTAAAGGTCCTGGGCATACACTTTGTCGAACACCAATCAAGGACTTATTAAAGAAATGTAGTCCAGAAAGTGAGTTTGCACTCTGCAACTCAACCACTTAAATAAACTCTGTACTCGAGAGGAGAACATTTACTACAAGTTCAGCAGTTTTACTCCTCTTTTCTCCTGCCGAACAGTGGGTCCTGAAAGGATAAGAAAAGCTCACCTGCTGCCATATTAATTACCTCTATAACCTAATGCAGTATGGTCCAAATGGCAGCCCACGGCCCACTTTTATCCAACCCATCTTCTCTTCTGTACAAGTGTGGGGTCTGCTGTCAGTGTGAATAGCTGTGCTCAGACAGATCAACAGCAGAGCAGAGCAAAGCCCTCCACTCTCTAATTCCCTTCTTGTCTTTGTCGGGGAGGCTGTGACAAAGGCAGTATGGCCAACACTTGCCAAGGTGATGTGGCACCTCAGGGGGGACGAAGCAAACAGAATTTGTGAGTTCCCAACACCCAAAACTGGCCCTTGAGGCTGTCAAGGTTGAACTAACCTGGCTTCCCATGAAAGTAAAATTCATTAATTCAAACCTGCTCACAGCTTACACAGCAATGCATATGAGACAGGTTACATACCTCTTGAATACTCAGGAGTGAATGGACATCCCAGGCCTCAGGTATCATCTGGCTGACCAGTCATGGTCAGACCAAAAATGACTTGGCCCAGGTCAAAAGTAATCATTTCACTGAATGAATCTAGACCTGGGATGGATCTGAGCACGTGGCTATGATAAAGAATAGCACCCAGGTTTAGAAAGTAGGAAATTCAGTCTCCATTCTCAGCTCAGTCATTAAAATTGTGCAACAAATTGCACAATCCCTTTGCCTCTGTTTTTATTCTATCATCTGTCTCTCATTTAGTCAGCTCATAAAAACCACTGCCTCTTGCCATTTGTAAGTACGGTGCCAATGTCAACAACAACTTGAAGTGATTTGGGTATGCAGCATTATTTTTCTTTCCTCCTTAAAACATCTTTCTCCATTGCCAATTCTGTGAGCCATTACATTTCTGCTTCTTTTCCTGTTGTTTTTAAGGGCAATTTTAATATTCAGAGAGCAGAATTTTTATTCTTGCTGAATGTGCTGATATCCTACACTAGTAATGCAGGCGAGTAAGAACAACAAAATAACATACATTTGTGATCTTCACACAAAAACCAAGCGACTCTGGAAAGTATTTCAGAGCTTATTTATGGCAGGTCCACTGCCATCCCCTTGCCTCTACCTCAACACAGTATCACAGAGAATCACAAAATATTCTGAGTTGGAAGGGACCCACAAGGATCATCAAGTCCAACTCTTAAGCATCAGTTAAGTCCAAATAATTCCGACAAATCCAAACTCTTTCTTAAATTCTCCTTTAATTACCTGGAAAAGTGGTAAAACTTTCTTTCTTACATATCCTTCTCATTAAAATAAAGGGGTTTGTGCTTTCTAATGTAGACATTTCTGCTGTTATTTATATCTATCACTACCTCACTTAGCTACCATGGGAATTAAGAATACTATCTTTGTCCTTGCAGCATATTTAAAACATATTTAAAAATTTAAAAAACTGAAGAGATTTACAGAGAAAAAAACCAGGTTCTACAAAACTAAACAGCACAATTATTTCAACCTTCTCCCACCAATCATGTTTTCTAGAGTTATCATCAATTTTTTTGCTGTTCTTTCGAACAATTCCATAACCTTCAGCAGTATTTCATAAAGCAACCTAACAAAAACCTTAATTTTAATCACACACCTACCTGATCCATACTTTCTGGAATGAATTCACCCTCACTGTTGATACTGGTGAAGGACCCATTTCGAGCCACCTGATGCAGCTCATCTGGAATGTATCCTGGGGGAGGTGAACTCCTATCACGAGTATTAGAACCTTTGGAAAGAAAAAGGCCAGTCAGAGTTTCTACATTAACCCAGAATCCAGGGGTTTTACTCACATGTTTCACAGGCACTGAGCCTGCCTGATTCACTTCTTCCTTTGGGCATTTCCCAAATGCCTGTGCAATGCAACACTTAAGTATAGCATTTAAAATCTGCGATCCAGGAATTATGAAAAATTTGGGGCAGAGTTGCCTCAGTAGCATTATAAAGGATTTTCATTATACAGGAACAGAAACACAATTTGCTCACACATCTAGTTGGGTAAATTTCTTCTTTTGAACAAAATCAAATTCCAAATCCTTCCACCCATGTCAACTAATCCTTTCCAACTCTTGAGAATTTCAGTTTTTCTTTGTAGAATATTAAGTCTGTAAGAACACGAATATATATATATATTCATAATAAATGCATAATAATTAACTTGTCTGGAAAATTATTCATGAAACTCTTTAGTTTCATAATTAAATTTTGATGTTAACATCACACCAATTTCAAAATATTAATAAGCAAAAACGTTATCTCAATGCCTAAATAAGTATCTTACACAAATGTTCAGACATTAAAAAATATGAAGGTCCTAAACTGAGCAAGAAAACACACTGCCATATAAACAGATTTTTCAGTAGCTCATTCCTGTATCTGAAAATAAAGGGGAGTACTAACATCAGCTTCTTAGGTTACCCATCAGTTACCTCAAATAATTCTACATACATTTATTTACCTGTGGGGGTTTTGGATAATTTTCTGTATTATATATATTTAAACCACTTTTAACTTAAAATTCAAAATCCACTCCCCCAAGTGCAAACTCTACAGTAGAGTCATTGATGAGTATGAGAAATTCAAACACTGTGTGTTGAGAGCAAAATCCTCATGAAGAGAATACTACAAAAGAAAAGCTTTTACAATTAAAGCTATTGAAATATTCACCTTACCTATTACAGACAGTCGTCTTTTCCTGTCTGTCACACCGAACACTGTATTATCTAAATCTTCCAGTGAGGGCAAGGGTTCCATATTATTTACACTGGGTGACTGAAAATGCATAAATATTACAACCTGCTGTTATTATTTTATACTCCTCACAATGAAAATACTTTGTAAACTTTACAGGCTTTGTGCAGTACATTCCTTTTTTTCGAGCAGTCAAAAAAGCAGTTTGCCAATTTATATCACAATCCATCTATTTTAGTAGCTCGTTCTTACTCTTCAAAAATTATTTTCAATATGTACCAGTACACAAATCCTATGAATATCAATGCCATGGTTTGTTAGATAATACCAAAATACCTCAGCATTTAGTCTACAGTCCACTACTCTTTGCTACAACAAACACTGAACTTCCCACAAAGGAGTGTCACCAATGTGTGACTTAAAGAACAATTTCAAATAACTACCATTACTTAAATTTTATGTGCTTTTCAAATCTGTATCACTTTGTCATCCTACTAAGAAACACTTTACTACCACTGTAGGGAAGACAAACAAAGAGAAGGATCTAAGAAAGAGTTAAAACTGAGTAAATACAAAATGCTAATGGATGTTTAAACTGAAATCAAGAAGCAATCAGTATTATTTTCAATTGGAAAAATGCCATCTTTAAGAAAAGATACTAATAATACTTCAATATGAAAACTCAGGAAAAAGACATTTAGCATGTCAATTCATACCTGTGTATTTCCATGTATTACAAGCAATATCTTGAGACTCTTCATATGTACACTACGGTCAAGCAGTTCAACAGCTTTGTCCAGGTCATCCTGCGTGGTTAATGGAATTACAAGCTACAGAAAAGGGAGGGGAAAAAAAAAAGTCTTAAACAGGACACAAGAAAGAAATGAGAAAGTCAAGTGCAGAGAAATAAATAAAGGGAATCTTTTCATTCATACCAAACAACTTGAAAATAAAATTTATTAAATGATCCCTCAAGTTATCATCAAAATGTCTAAAGTTCAACCTTAACTCTTCCTTCAGATGCCTTCATAATTATAGCGGTGGAACAAGTCTTCACAACCAAAGAGCAACCATTTTGCATATATGGAACTGAATATCCTACAAGTTTCAGAGAAACAGGTGCAACAGGGTCAATGTATTTACCATAGCCTAAATTACCACAAGTCTCTAAGATGAACAGACGTCTTATTTTACAGAGCATAAAGCGGACTTTTGTATCTCAAATATTACAACTATGGGGACCCCTGGTGGCCTAGTGGTTAGCATGCAGGACTCTCACCTCTGCAACGCAGGTTCGAATCCAGCCAGTTCCCCGGGCAGATGGAGCCCGTTAGCCCTGTGAGGCCATCCATCTATGAGAAGGTCACTCTAAACAAACCTACGTCCTGAGGACCTCACTGCCATTGTCCAAGCTTGCTTGGCCCCGGCAGATGAACCTTAGGATTAAAGGGTGGGCTCAGTTCAGCGCAGGCTGTGTCTCACCTAAAAAATCCATTGCGCAGGCTGGAAAGGTAAAAGACCTTTCCCCAAATCTTCGTTCGCGAAGACTGGCCATTATTTATTATTATTACAACTATACTTGTTTGAAATTGCATCACTAACAGAATTTCTCCATTGAAAAACAAAATTTGTCAAGGAAGTGTATCCTTACTTCCTTAAGGAAGACGTGACCCACATGTAACAACTGTAGTCCTCACTAGAATCTTACTTGGATCTAACTAATTAGAATTAACTTAGAATATATGTATCTTTAGAACAAAAATGTTATGCCACTAAAATGCTATTGAGATCTGAATTCTATAACACGTAAGATCAAGCTTGTGTTTCAGGAGTGTACATTTCAACTTCTGCTTGTAACAAAGGAACAACACAATACACATTTTTAAATCTATTCTACTTGTAAACAGTATCAGTCAGTAATGCTTAAATACATCACCAGTCAAAATACAGTAGTTTTATACAAAAAGAAATGGGATTGATGAAGAAGGTCTTGATAAAATGAAGAGTTTGCACATTTGTTAAGTTGCAGTTTTAATCCTAATGACATGTTATCACCATCCCATTTCTGAAAGGTGATGGGATGATTTGCCAACTAGTGCCGAAGTTGACAAGAAGAAAACCTACTCAAATGCCTAAGAATCTATCAGTGGAAGGAGTTGAGGCTAAAGCATTATGAAGGGTCATCACTTTTGACCCTCCTAATCTCCAAAAGCCTTCTGTTGGAATTCTTCATTTTGAGGATCAGTTTCACAGAAGTGCCTGATAATGTTACCAACAAACAGCAATTACTGGCACTTTCTTCTGCAAAGATGCAGATTAGATACAGCAATTATGTTGTGCATAACCACACGAATAATCCTTTACAAACTTTGCTGACTCAAGGCAAAACCCAGAAGTAACTCACAAGAATGGATCCTGCATCTGTAAATATATTTGCTATAATTCCATCCCTGCTTCTAAAGGAAAGCTGGAAGTAATATTGATCAAGCATAAGTGGCTTGACAGTGCTGGCACTGTTTCCAAGAAATCTTTGGGAACCAGCCACTTCAGGAGGAGCAACAGCTAAGCCTATTCCTGCAATCTAAACAGTAACTAAATGCAGCATTCTAGCAATTGCCTAACAAGATCAATCCTTAAAGAAAAGAGTTTACAAGAAAGGATAAATGTTACTTCAAATTTACAAACACAACAAAGCTCAAAGAAGTAAAGACTTGTAACAGAACTGTGGCAGATGAGGAAGACAATTTACCCATTCCTAACAAAGTCTGAGATATAATTCATTACGATACTCATGAAACATTTCACGTATCTCCTGCCTATCCTAATTTGGACAAGACTTACATATTTGAGAAAACACACACACATACTAGAAACCCCGGAGTTCGTCACAGGAGTAAGTTTTGTCACAGGAGTGGTTCCCACTACTTGTGAGAGCAAATTTCAGCCTCAAAACAATCAATGTCCAAGGCAAGAATTTAGAGGACACAGAATATTACCTCATTATTGCTGTAATGTAAATCCATAGTCTGTCCAAAAGCAACTTTAGCTTTAGCTGCAAGATCTTCAAGTTTAACAGGCCTTGGTAATTGCAGGATCCTGAAAAACAAATAATTTAAGTTTTAAAGAATTTTTGTCCATAACCTATGAAAATCCGGCAACTCATTACTAAAGAACTATTTTAGAACTAAATTTATTACTAAAAAGACCATAAAAGACTATGCTTTATTCACTGTCCTCCATATTTTGAGACTTTAAAAAAAAGAAAGAAAAGCAGTGAGAAAGTTAAAAGGGATAATCAGGCACAGAATTAGATTTCATTATGATGACTTTACTTGGTTCTATGTGGCTTGCTTAATGCTTTGCAAGCCTCCATTTCAGAGGCAAATTCTTAGAAACTTCTAAAATTTTCTACTCCAGAAAACTAAGACAATGGAGTACCACAGGCTGACAAGCATAAGCATCAGAAAGGAATTATTCTCTTTTTTGGAAATCTGAAAGACTATCTTACCTGAGGAAGGTAACTAAATGTCACCATCCTTACCATAATGAACTACACACTCAAACTGCCCAGTCCATCACTAACTGTGCTTCAAATGTGCTCCTGTAAGAATGGTGCAGTTGCAGGTCAACAAGTCAGATTTTCTTTTAACTCAATGTCTCATCAAACCAGTTAGCCCAAACTGCCCTTTTACTATAGAAAACTATTGTATTTTTTGAGATACAACAGCATTAAACAAAAAAAGCATTTAAAAGTGATTAAGCTATTGAGGTACATCCAATTCACATTCAAAAAAGAAAGAGCACTCAAATTCTGTGAAGCAGAAAAGTTAGCAAAGGGTAACTGCTCCTTTCGTCAGTGGTTCAGTTAGTACTACACTGGTTAGGGAACAACTTGTCTCACTGAAATAAGCCTAGAAGCCAGGCCACTTTCAATTAAAAATTATTTTTTAAAAATAAAATCTTAAAAAAACACCCATAACAAACAAAAGCAACCAACACCAACTCTCACTGTAGTTAACAATTTGTGCAACAAGCCTACAACTCTACCCATCACACCACCAGCTCCTTGGAACAAAGTGCCACATTCACCACTGAAAGCAAGTCTGAAATCACTTCTGCTTTTCACTTCCCTTTTTCAAAGCTAGTGAGAAAGCCATTGCATAACTTATTTTTCCTGCATAATTTCATTACTTTATCCTTAGATCTACATGCTCAGGCAACAAAAGTATTATAACTCATGCTGAGCAATGAGCCTGGGTTGCCCAGCACCTCTGGGCAAGCAGGCTCAAGGCACTTGGGACAGTGCAGAACAGAGCTAGGCCCATCAGTATAAAAGCTTGGGAAAGGTATCTTTCCACACACTTATTTTATGCTTGTTAAGCAATTCATATTGAATTGATTAACTTAGTTCACTGTGAAAGTGAATTATGATAAACTGCAAAATGCACTGTCCATGCAGACTGGCAGCAAGTAAACATCTCTCTGTTTTAAATTCATGCTTCTCCTTATTTCACAAGAAATAGTTAGGTGGAAGAGTCCTCAATTTTCAAAGCTTTCAAAAAGACTTATTTCCTCCAAATTACTTATAGCACTCAACCATTACCAATGCACTTTTATGTGTGATGTTCAGAGAGGTGATAGAAAGAAGCTGAAGAATGTTAATACCAAGGGAACTTACTGCTATTTTACTGCTCCATGTACAGAGAGGGCACACACTGTAATCAGCATGGACACACACTCAACTACCGCACGTCACACCAAGGGCTGCCCAGAAGTAGTATAGGTTTCATTCTGAAGCAATTAAGAAATTTACAATTTCTACTGACAAACAGCATGACCAGGATATTATTTCCTTTTTCCTTAAGTATTTTCAAAGATCTTATTCTATAACCATTTCTCTGCAGGCAGAATGAAATTTTATGCTTTCAGAAAGTGACAGGCAGGCAAAATCAGTTGTCCACAACCAGTTCTGCATGGAGTTGTACAGTGAATTCTGTAAAAGCTTTTAAGCAGTCATCAGAGCAGTGATATATACAGATGCTTGTATACTTTAGACAGGTGCATCAGCCACCTCATATACAAAATGAAAATAAATTTTAACTGATTAAATAAAAGCAATCTGAATCTAATAAATTTTCTTCTTACAGTTTCAGACTGGTACCTCCAAAGTACAATCCAATACTGAGATTTAAGATCTAGACCTCTTTTTCTGGGTGTTACAGTAACAATAAATTATCATGCATTTATTACACACATGATGAAGCAAAAAAATTTATATTCTGGTCTATTCAAACTTGAGATCTATTCTAGTGATCTAAGTAATTGATCATAGCTACAAATACCTATCTGAAGGGTAACCAAATGAAGGATCCTCCATGGGACATAGGTACAGTATGATACTTCCACATTTATGTATACTTAGAGCCCACATTTAAAACAGTTAATTATCTTTAAATTGTGTTCATATCAAAATTAAATTTAAGCTGAAACAAAATACACTTAGAGATCTGAAATACTTTGAAACTTCATGACAGAAACACATCAAAACTCTACAAATAATTAAGAGACAAGACTATTTCCTTACCTTTTTTCACCTCGATGTTCAAATTTGACTCTAACATCATTCTGTAAGAAAAGACATAAAGGAACCACTATTAGTTTGTTAATACCTCCCTTAATGAAGGCCATGAACTCCCATTCAATAATCTTACACCAGAACTAAATTCCTTATTAATTTTCTGTCCTTTCCAATACAACAAGTATCTAAACAAGCTTCCACTGCTGAAGTACCTGATAGAGGCTTAAAGTGTGTAAAAAATACAAAAACTTATTCTGAAGTACAATGAATGCTTCTGTAAGTAAAGATATTATTTTCTATCAATATATCTTAATATTATAACAGATTTATGACTTCAAATTCAAAAGTTCTCTATCCTGAACAGGCAGGTAGATTTATCTCCAACAACAGGTTTTTACGTACACTTTGCAGCTGAGCATTTTAGGCTTAAGAAACATATCTTGTTTCATAAGCATTACCATAGAAACCAACACATGTAATTAAGCCAGCAGTCATGCAATAAATTTCCCAATAACCATATCTGTATATATTTGCAGTGGAAATAAAGTTTGCTTTTTGCAAAATCATAGTTTTAAGAATCAAATTGTATTAGCACCTATTGCAGGCAAAACAATAATGCAGGAAAAACAATAATGCATTATCCAAGTAACAACGTTGCATTTTCCAAAACAACTGATTATCAAATTATTACTTTCAAAATTCATAAATTGAAACAGAAGGATAAAAATTTCTTCTAACTGTCTAAGCATGTATTATACTCAAATCATTTTGGACCAAAAATGCATGTTACCACAATGTCTAAAGTCACAGCTCAGACACGAGTTACATGACACCAGCAAAGCACCACTGTGATATACACTGAACTCATACAACTTTTAAAGCACAGAATGAAAAAGATGTAGCCATTGGGTTTTGACAGTTTAAAAGCCAAATATATAGGAATATATATTAAAAGGTTAAAACAGGCACAAACTGAAATTTCATTAAATATTGAACTGTAAATTAAGGATCCAATCAAATAAACATACAGTTAATGTATGTTTATTATGTTATTTATGGGTAAAAATTTTTTGTCCTCTCCTAATCTCTCAGTATAGTAGCTCAAACCTATCAACTAAGTATTTACTACTTATTCCATTTCTGTTTAGTATCTAGAGAAAACAAACACAGCTGAAAAGAACTCACATTTCCAGCACATGAACAAACAAGAAACCGAGGCCAAAGATGCAGTAAAAGAGTTTAAGCATGTTTCTGCTGCTGTACTGACGTTCTTTGGTATGATATAGGTTACAACTGGACAATCTAATAAACCTATAAAATTCTTTCTTGATATTTTAAAATAGTATAGTATCAATATAATAATAACAACAACTATAAAATCACTCTACGTACAATGTCAAAATACCTCTATGATCTTCAATTTATCAGTACAAGAGTTATTTAAGCATATACTATGATCTGCTCTCAAATGCCACCATTTCATTTTGCTGATAATACAAGAACATGAACAAAGAAAATGGCAGCACATGTGGGAGACTAACAGCTCATTCTGGTATGCTCACTAGTCTGGCAAGAAAAATAATTATAGAAGTCACAGCAGGACGTTCCATGTTCAGTAGGTTAGTGAGGACATTAAAAATTACCTGTTTTTTAGGTGAAGATGACTTTGGTTTTCCTGTTTCTTGCTGGGGCAATACAGGACGACTGGCCTTATGAAGCACAGCCAAATCCTGCATGATTGAATTCAGAGCTTGCTGCTCATCTGCAGAGAAAAAGACCAGACAAGTGTAAAAGACTGTTACATTTGAAGGGCATTACTGTTTCATTTCACAATTAGGCAGGCATTATTCTAAAATCCAAAAGTCCTCATTACACTCCAATACATAACTGCCAAATAAAAAAAATTGCTGCCATGTTGCAAATGTTTTTATTTTATTTATCATTAACAGTGCTTAAGGAAATAAACAGCTTAATCAGTAACCACACTTAAATAGCAAGTTTAAAAAACTGAAGTCATAACAGAGACTAAGCTCTACACAACTGCAGGCTGTACTAATAAAAGGAAGGGGGTGGAGGGGGAAAAGCCTTATCTACTTTGTTTCAAATAATATGGATGAGACATTTACTAGAAATTACATTTCCCGCCCCTCTCAGAAAACACAGAAAAAAACACAAGTAGTTTTGAACCATTTTCCCTCTGTCTTGAACAGGTATGATCATGCCCACTGGAAGCATACACAAACTCCCAGAGGAACACCTCAACTGTTTGAGCATCTGCTGATAGTGCATGAAGTAATTAAAAAAAACAAAACAAAAACAAAACCCAACAACAAAAAAACAACCCATAAACCAAAAATAAAACACCACAGAACTTTTCCAGGACTGAAAATACAGAGGATCTTAGGGCTTAAATGAAGAATTCATAAGGAGAAACAGAAGCACTGAACCCAGGGGACAATTTAGGGGCAGGAGTGCTACATAACTTAGGTTTCAAGTTCACAAAAAAACCTAAATCCTGAAGATCTGCTGCAACTGTGACAGCCTGAGGCCATGATAGACAAGATCTGCCCTAGAAATGGGATGCTCCTTTAGACAGGAAAACACTTAGGAGCTCAAAAGCCTGTACATCCACCACTAAGAGAAATTTATTTCTAATGTTTTGTTCCTTGCCACAGCAATAGTACCTGCACTCAGCATGCATCTGGAACACTGGATGACAAAATATATCTACAAAGGTGTTGATTGTGTGCCTTCACGCTCCTTCACAATGAAGGAACATTGTGAACAATTCAATGTTTGTTGAAGAATTCATTGCTAAATGCCGTGATTTACAAAGAACCGTATTTCTCAAACACAGACCTGAGAAAAGCTCAGCATTAAAATCAGCAAGTAAGCATTCCAAGTGTTCAGCAACCATGAGAATTCCTTCACATTCTATTAAAATACAACCAAATATATTTATTATACAAGGAAATTGTGGGATTTAAGTGTTCTAATTTAATAGATTCCTAACAGATCAGAAAGCTGGTCTGAAAATGAGTATCTTTGATCATCACTCATGCTGTCATTATTCATAACTCTACTAAGATATGCAAATCTATAAAAGCAAGTTTTACTAGCAATATTTAATGGCATAACTGAAGGCGTTCTTGCAGCTCAGTTATTCTTTTCTCACACTAAAACACACTTCAAGATTTGCCAAAATTAGAAAAGTTAAACTATTTTATTGTGTTATAGCCTATTCTAGTGCTCCGCAACGGTAAAAAATAAATTGATGTTTTAGCAGTTGATCGAAGTTTCTTTCCCAGTGGTCACTATGTTGCATATTTCATGAAACCAAAGAACTGTGGCAAAGTGTTTAAAGTTTACTGAATATCCATCAGGACTCAAGAGTCACTCCTCTCACGCAAAATGTTGGAGAAGATCAGAAATCTGAAGAGTGCTGTATTCCCAGATTAGGCAACTTGATTATTAAGCATAAGGTTAGGAACATTAGCATAACAATAAGAGATGAACAAAAGCAATATGAAAATGTGCATGCTGTGGTTGGTTGGTTTGCTGGGATTTTTTTGAGAGGGAGCTCCGATAAACGATTACAATAACAACATGGTCAACTCATTAAAAAGCACGCACAGCTTGAAAAACTGGCATAAAATCTAAAGTAATACAAATGTGCCACATATTTAGAAAAACAGACCATCTACACAGTCCTGGCTTTGCATTGCAATGATACAAGGCAACAAGATAAAATTCTTTAACATAGACTTTGTGGTTTGGGCTTGTTTTTTTCCAACAGTCATTACCATTTAGAGGACAGTAAATACTGTCCAGTACTCTAATACCATGAATCTCTATTTCCTATACTTAAATCTTTAAGTTACTGCATAATAAGGGAAAAGTGCTACACTCCAAGGGAAAAAAAAAAAAAAAGAGAAATATTTGAATACTGCAAAGCTGCTGAACACTGCCTTTCATATAGGTGCTACACTGCATTAAACAGCCAAAGGACACATTTCCTAGGAACTGTAGTACATTAATGGTTTTAGCACTCAATAGAAATGAAGAGTATCTGAATTAAATTTTTATATGTATGTTACACATAAGACTTACCCATTATGGCAGTGAGTCTGAAAACTCGAACTTCAAGGAAAGGGTTGCTTCATTAGCATTATTTTATTCCCTAAAAAGCAAAACCAAAAACCCCACAATTACTGAAGTTGTCAAAGCCATGTAAAACAGCCAACTCTTCATTGTTTATGGGCAGTTTTTCTAATACTTTACATAGCAAATTCAATTGCATAAGGCACAAATACAATGTGCGGAGAAAACAGATACTGCTCCCAAAGCCTCACCAGCCTCTGAGCAATGTACATACTTTACGAAGATATAAAAACCTGAACTAAATATTCTTCTAGACTTAAGCTGATTTTAGTCTCTACCTATACCCCTCAATGATGATTAGTAGCTTAATTAACTATAACACTCTACCATTTGGGATACCCACTACTCCAGATTATTAAAAATTGATTCTTTTTCTACAGGTCCACACTGTATCTGGTGTTTAAAGTTATATAGTTATATATAAAGTTATATATATAGTTATAGTTAAAGTTATAGATAGTTAAAGTTATAGATAGTTATATACAGATATATACAGTCCCTATATATAAATACATATCAAACTCACAGCACAAATCAAGAGTCATCAACACCTACCGATTATATAAACTCAAAAACTCCAAGTATTATTTTTCACCATAATTCAAGAACATAACACAGATATCCTAACATTTCTGAAAGTAAATGGCTCTGGAAGACAGCAAGTATTAACATTTAATATACAATATATGTTTTAAAGAAAAGCAGAAACATAAGGAGCACTTTTATGAACAAACCCTGTCACAACATCTTCAAAACTGGCCAACTGAAAAAAACCAATAACGAAGGACCAATTAAAATAATCTTTCTATGAGATGCCATTATGGAGGTTAACAGCAAAAACCGAAAGTCATATCCCTAAACAGACAATGAGATTTGCTGCAATACAGGCTACCACAGGAAAAATTCTGACTTTTTTTAACACAAGAGAAGAAAATTCTAATTTCTTAAGCAGTCGCTGTAACCAAGTAGGGAAGGCCTATGTCCCTCGTCCCTCTTCCCTTTTGTTGACTGCAGTGGACCATCCTTCCTTCTGACTCAAGAGAAAAAGATTTACCTTACTCTGATAAAAACAAATTATTTCCCTGCTAGTTCATTCAAGGAGTTACACTAATAAATAGGACTCATTTTTTTTCCCCTTCTTTAACCAAAATTTTTTCCTATGGTTTAGTGTCAAACGACCCCTGAGACCAGCACAGGGCAGCCTGTGGGAGCACATGGCTAAGAAGAGAGGGGAGGAGCTCTTTCAGCACCAGTCAGTCAGGTTTCCTTGCTTGAATATTCTGCCAATTGTCTATCTAACAACAAATTAATTACAGTTTTTCAAAAGACTTCTGAGCACCTTCGGTTCGGCATCCAAGTTTCTGGTATTGCCTCTTACATTGGACTTGAGAGTCATATGAAGGTCTCTCCTAAATAGTGCCTACCTATCAGATGACTCATCTACTACTGTCTGTTTCAAGCTGTATAATAACTCAGGCTTTTCAAGTAGACCCAGAGGTCCCACTACATAATCAGAAATCAGTTCGGTTAAGAGAGCACACAAAAGAGCACATTCGAACTAAAATAAATCTGAAAATATGATGGATGTGCACTCAGAGTTACATACTCTGAGTCTAAGGACAGCCTCAAAACAGTACCTGAAACAGTTTCCAAGTGTTGTGGAAAAGAAACTCCCATCTAATGCCTTGTAAAGTATTAAAGTCTGTAAGAGTATGTGAACTAAACCTGGCCTGGGTGGCCCACAGCCTCATGACACAACCCTCTGCTTTCACTACTAACATGGTCTCCAGCCTCTTAAAAAAAAACCCCATAAACCAAACCAACAAACAAATGCAAACCCCAAAGCAAAAACAAAAACTAAAAAGGAAAAAGCTTCTGTTGCTCCATAACAGGAAAGGAAACACATGAAGACAGAAAAGCAGGGGATTTGTACTAATCTTCAGAGAGCAAAACAGGCTGAATTTTCACTTATTTGCTGAATTTTCACTTATTTGCTGAATGATAGTGCCCAATATCACTCAAAAAAAGGAAAGTATCTTTGGACCTTGCTCTCACACAAGATGCCAGGAGAACTGGTTTACTTAGTGAACTGGGATTACCTTTATAACCTTAAATATCACAACTAACATTTTTCCCCCATATCTGATTCTTTGCATCCTTTGCATCCCTAAGAGTCAAAAAAGCAAAGCAGAACATACATTAAATTATTTCCTCTGCTATGTTTTTTGTATCACCAGTTGTCTTGGGAGATATTCCAAAGAATTACTCATTGAAGATGGTCATAAAACATCTTTTTATTTCTGTATTTGATTCAACTGTCTTTAAATGAGAGCTAATGTCATTTTCTTATGTCTGTTTTAATTATCTGTCTTAATACATTAAACATAAAAATGTGTTTCATGACTTTGGATGAAGTACTTCTGTAATACTTCCTTGAAAACACTTCAAAGAAATACAATAGTTCTCTGAGGCATTTTAAATCTTTTGCCACACCTGAAGAAAACCACACCAAGTTATATCTCCAAACAAAACCACCCCAGATGTTCTTTCTAAACGTAGCTGAAAAAAAAACCCAAAACAACTTGGAAGCTCAAGATATTTGAGCTACAGGGCTCATATAGGGCTGAAGAAGAAATATTTTAAAAATATCTTCTTCAAGTTGCTCCAGCCACAAGAATTCATTCTTTATTATTAATTTGTGGCATCTCTCATAAAAGAACATAAGCTAATAAGTGAACATAAATTTATTTTCTCTTCCACTTCCTTCTTATTCCTTAAAAGAAAAAAAAAACAACTTAGGAAAATTAAATTTCTCTGAGTAACTTATATATGTCTTACTTTATTGTCCCTTTTAACCAAAATTCTTTCTATTCAAATATAAAATATAATTAATCACCAACTAAACAGCTTAACGGCCTTTCTGTTAGCATTTAGCGTTACTTCAAAAACAAGTAACAACAATAAAATTTCAATTAAAAACATTACTCAGATCCAAATTTATGAAGACCTTTATGAATTCATCGCGTGAATTGAGAAAACACTTCTGTTTTTAACTGCTCATTTTCACAATGGGCTGTAACAACAGGGTTGTTGTGGAGAGTGAGCAAGAACAAGCTAACAGAAATCAACATTTTTTCAAACAGAAGTATATACATTCTGTAGAAAGGGAAAAAAGCATACCCTAATCCATGGTTGCATAGTAGAGTTAGTATAGCGCACACATACAAGACTAAATTACAATCCAGGACAAAAAAAAGGAAGCGAAACAAAAAACTGGAACTCAGAGAAAAACTCAGGAGAAGCAAAGGCTGCAAAACAGAAAGAGCAGATGCAAAGATAGAATAAGATTATGTCAAGGTTTTGCAGAGAGACACAAGCAGCCTGAATTTGAATGAAATTAAAGAAAGGATAACAGAGAGTGAATTTCAAAAAGGTGTTTGCTACTCTTATCACATCATCAAAGAAGAATATCCTAGCAACAGCATTTTGGATATAAGGGTGGAGAGACGCTGATTCATATTCATGATTCACTTCCCACCAGCCACCTTCCAGAGCCTGGAAGTCTTTCAGAATCTGAGAATGCCACCGAAGGAAGAAAATATCCAGGTGATTCTTGGAAATTGTTTTTAGCTTTCTCAATGCAAATGAAACAAAGCCTGAGGGCAAGTAAGTCATGTGGCCAATAATGGAGCTGTTCAAACGCCCCGTGGCACTCCTATAATAAACACAACCCGGTGCCCTCTCGGTTACTGAGAGATAAAAGTATACAAGCACTGGCACACATATTACATCGTCTCTCATGACTGACTTGGTCGCATTCAAAAGCTTGTAGGCTAGGAGAAAAAAGCCTTAACCTCACACAGTAGAGGAAGTAAGCAAGCAGGTGCTATATGGAGTGAATATTTATTAAGTGAGCTAGAAAAGGTGTTATAGTTCTGTGAAATACAAAGATACATAGTGTGCAGAAATGAAATGGCTCCTACAGCATTCAGCTTCATAAGAGAAGTACAATTTTTAAAGAGTAAAATTAGCTACGGCTACAACAAGAGCCTTAAACTAATCATCTGAGAACAGTACAGGGAGTATATAACTACTTAAGAGCATAAGCCAGCTTTAATGCTGCTCATGTTAAAAATCAAGAACAAAAAAAAACAGTGAAGCAAGCAATCTAGCTTAGCCTGATTTTGTATGGATTTTAGACTCATACAGTAATACTGTATCTACACGTAAAGGTGCCTTACACCTTTGGAGTCCAAACCTATTTCAACAGCGACGCAAGAACCTCAAAGATATCAATTCCCTAAAATAAATTTTCTCTAAAACAAATGAGTGCAAGGATACATGGCTTCCAGTTCTTACACCAAAGCAAAATGATATCGTGCAAACTCAATAAGAAAGACGCATTGTAATTATTTCCATCACAGTTAAAGATTAAATCAGACTTCTACTATATTAGACATAAGCTAAGCAAGTTAAACCAAAACAACAAGGAATCAAAATCTGTGAGCATTGCTATTCAAACACACACTTCTCTATCAAAAAAACAGATGATGCAAAGAGCCAAGTAAAAATCAAGAGTGTGCATTCACAGGTAATTTTTCAGACTGTAGAATGGACAATCAGAATCAAAGTAACACCATAAAAATTTATTTCATAGCCAGAAGAACGAGCCAGACAAAATGGTTTTAGTCTAAAAATGTTATTCCTAAACAATCAAATGCTTGGTTGCACACAACCAATCTCTTATAAATCACAGTAAGCAAGGCTGAAGTGATCACCCACTCAAATATATCTACTTAACCTTTCATCACAATAACGTGCAGCACTGCTTGTTATGGGTTTTATTTAAAAAAAACAAAACAGTATCTGCTCACAAGACAAACAGTAATACCTAAATCCGAACTTCTGTAGCCTTTTTCATAGCTCAAAGCAACTGTTGGCATAAATGACAATAATGACACTGCATAGTGTGACAAGCATAGAAGTCAGCATTGTTACAACACATTAGGAGATACCTAA